TGTCCCCTTTAACTCTTCCTCTTCCAGATACGTGTGTGCTCCAGGCGTGTGGTGAGAACGGACAGTGCGTGAAGGATGAGCAGGGGGTGGCGTCCTGTGTTTGTGACCCTTTCTTTGGGCTGGAGGCAGACGGCAAGACATGCACAGGTAGCTATTGCTGTGTGTTGTGGTGCTGCTGAGGTGCTGCTGAGGTGCTGCTGAGGTGCTGATGTGGTGCTGCTGAGGTGCTGCTGAGGTGCTGCTGAGGTGCTGCTGAGGTACTGCTGAGGTGCTGCTGAGGTGCTGCTGAGGTGCTGCTGAGGTGCTGCTGAGGTGCTACTGAGGTGCTCTTGATGTGCTGCTGAGGTGCTGCTGAGGTGCTGCTGAGGTGCTGCTGAGGTGCTGCTGAGGTGCTGCTAAGGTGATGCTGATGTGCTGCTGATGTGTTGCTGATGGTGCTGCTGATGTGCTGTGTGCCGCTTCTGATGCCATCTGCTGCTATAAATGTGCTGCTGTGTGCCATCCGATTCCCTTTGCATTCACTGCTGTTTCTGCTGTTTTGTTCTTGTTTCCGCTGCTCTCGCTCCCCTGGCAGACACATGTGTGCTCCAGGAGTGTGGTGAGAACGGTCAGTGCGTGCAGGACGAGAATGGGGCGGCGTCCTTTGTTTGTGACCCTGGCTTCACGCTGCGGGATGATGGCAAGTCTTGCCACGGTAAGGCTGCTGTTTGCTGCTGTGCTTCTCTCCTTTTGCTCTGACAGTGCCTTTCAACACCGTCTACCTTTCTGCCATCCTTTCACCTGCAGCTCATCCTTTCAACTCTCCCAACTTATTCCCTCCTCCCATCGCTTCTCGCAGACAATTCTGCTGTCAACCGCCCCTGCCCAGCGGATGAAGAGAGGGACGCAGACGGCAACTGCGTTGGTGGGTGCTGTTGGAAAGAGTGACTGCAGCATTGCTCCTCTGCAGCCTTATGGCCTTACTTGATATCTGCAATCCGCGTTACAGCTACTACTGCAGCATTGCTCCACTGCAGTCTTTGTGGCAGCTGCATTGTGTGCAGTCCTCTAGATTTGGTGTTGGTGCGTCGCAAATTGTGATGGCAAATGAGGACATGCCTTGTTCTGCCCTTACGGGCTTGTCTTTCCCCTCGTGCTTGCGTGCAGACTCGTGCGTGGTACGCAAATGCGGCCCCAACGTCAACTGCCTCAAGAGCAAGGGAGGCTGGGCGAACTGTGTGTGCCAGAGGGGCCTCAGGCTCATGCCCAACGCGTCTTACTCTCGTGAGTGTCTCTGCCCAAATCACTCATCCCCGCTGCTTCCGTTCCTCGGAAGTCACACCCGTGTTGCAAGTGCCCAATTTGCTGCCTCTTGTTCGACCTTCCTAGTTGCAACCAAGTCCTCTTGCGCATGCATGCAGGCAGTTCACTTCCCTGTCCTCACTCTGTCGTTCTTGCTCCCTGTTCCATCTATTGACAGATTCGTGTTCAATAATGGACTGCGGGGAGAACGCGTACTGTGAGAAGGAGGAGTCCCTCGCCGTCTCTCACTCTTGAGAATTCCCAAACGTATTCTTTCATGCTGTGTGATGTGAACATGACAGACTCGTGCTCGATAATGGACTGCGGGGAGAATGCGTACTGTAAGAAGGAGAAGTCTCTCGCCGTCTCTCACTCTTGAGAATTCCCAAACGTATTCTTTCATGCTGTGTGATATGAACCTGACAGACTCATGCTCGATAATGGACTGCGGGGAGAACGCGTACTGTGAGAAGGAGGAGTCCCTTGCCGTCTGTCACTGCAACTGGGGCTACGCCATGACCGAGGATGGCTATGTTGGTCAGTGCCGTGCTGTGTTGGTCAGTGCTGTGCTGTGTTGGTCAGTGCTGTGCTGTGTTGGTCAGTGCCGTGCTGTGTTGGTCAGTGCCCTGCTGTGTTGGTCAGTGCCGTGCTGTGTTGGTCAGTGTCGTGCTGTGTTGGTCAGTGCCGTGCTGCAATGCATGAAGAATCTGTTTGTGGCTTCGTGCTGGGTCATACAAGCTGAGAGGATGCGTTTTGTGTGCTGCAGAGAATGGCATGACGTGGGCAGGTTACCATGGCTGCATGGTGTGGTGAAATAGTGCGCTTTCTACTCGCAGTTCCACTTGCTTCTCCTCTTTTCTTATATTGTCCTAACACTTTTTTCTGTTGCGTCTTCCCCCCGTGGCAGACACATGTATACTGAAAGCATGTAGCGCGCATGGTCACTGTGTCAAGAACGCGTTGGGGGAGGCGTCTTGTGTTTGTGACGTTGGCTACACGCTGAAGAGCGATACCAGGACGTGCAAGGGTAAGGATGCTGTGTGTTGCTGTGTGTTGCTGTGTGGTGCTGCGTGTTACTGCGTGTTGCTGCGTGTTGCTGTGTGTTGCTGCGTGTTGCTGTGTGGTGCTGCGTGTTGCTGCGTGGTGCTGCGTGGTGCTCCGTGTTGCTGCGTGTTGCTGCGTGTCGCTGCGTGTTGCTGCGTGTTGCTGCATGTTGCTGTGCGCTGCTGTGTGTTGCTGTGTGTTGCTGTGTGCTGCTGTGTGCTGCTGTGTATTGCTGGGTGTTGCTGTGTGTTGCTGTGTGTTGCTGTGTGTTGCTGTGTGTTTACGTATGCTTTTGTGTCCTTGTGTGTTTTGCTGCTCTAGGTTTCCTCACGCTCCCTCTTTCTCGTCCTTCAACCCTCTCCACCTATGGCAAGCCTGCATCTGTGCATCCTCTCTGCTGTCCCCTCTGTCGCTCTTGTTCTCTTGTTCCACACATGCCCCACACTCAGTGACATTCCCGCCCCCCTCCCCCTTCCCCTCTCCGGCTCTCCCCCCCTCTTCTCCCCCAGATAATTGCCTTTTTATTGGGTGGATTCCGTTAACGGGAGTTTGTTGGAAAGATGCAGATGGCACGGCACACCGCGCATGCAAATCAGGCTACAGACGGCTTTATGGCGATTGCGTTGGTATGTAATGTTCTCACGTTTGTTAGAACTCCCCCCAAACCCCCCTAGCCTCCTTTCCTCCCCACCCTCGACCCACCCCCACCTCCCCTTCCCCCTCCCTCCCTCTTCCAGCTCTCACTCCATCCTCTCTCCCTTTTGCTTTTCTCCCCTCTCTTTAAAACAATCAATGACTATTGATATAGCCCCCTCCCTTTTTTCCCGCCCCCCTCTCATTTTGCCCTCAAGTAACCAGTTCGTTTATACAGCACCACGCATGTTGTATTCTTTTTATTACACATTGCACTGTGCTGTCCCCTGTGCTTGCCTGCTGTTATCTGTTCGACATATAGTGCAATTACACTAGTGTTACACTAATGCTAGAATATTCCCTCCTTTTCTCTACCCCATACTCACCAGGGCCTGCTACCTGCGGGAACTGTCCGAATCTAGCCACATGCACACTTGTCTCGTTAACCAGAAAGGCTCCTTACTGCGTCTGTCCTACTGGCTATGGCATGACCTCATATGGTTGCATCCGCAGTAAGACCATTATGTTTGCATTCAAGACTGACCAATTATTTGGCAGTTGAGGATTTTGAATTGAAAGTGGAGGCCTGACCAGCTGTGCTTGCATCATTAGTCAGTCAATGCTGCATACATTTTTGTCAAACCTCATACCAAACCCCATGCCCCGATTTTCCACTCTCCCACATTCTGTTTGTCTTCTAGGAGCTGCCCCAACGGGTCTCCTCCGCAAGTTTCACCTTATATTCCAAACTTTCTTACGGCTTATCACCCTACACCTACACCACGCGCTTGAACTACACCGCATGCACCAACGTTCCTAAGCAAATTGGTACCATTCACCGTTCATACTGGCATGTGGACCAAGCGCCCGGAGGAGCTAGAGATTGCAAGAAAATTATCCTTTATCATTATCCAAACTGCGTTGGCGCAATCGCTACACTCTCTTACCTGTCACTGACCAGCATCACTACAGTGGGCGTCTCGTAAGTCAAGCACACGATCTAATGCTTTTCCATGTATCTGTTTGCTCTCTTCCAGTGTCTTTACTGCTTCTCATTCTTGCTTTAACCCATACAAACCCAGTTTTTGAGTCCAATTACCAATTACGTTCTTGCATTTGCCTGCTTCTTTGTGCGTCACCCAACAGACCAGCAACAACCGACATTCTCTCCTTCATGTGTGTCCGCTAATCATTACACTTGTGGAGATTCTTATATGAAGGCTAGCAATACAATATTCCAGTTCGAAATAATGCTTCTACGGAAGACAAACGGAGAATGGAGTCTGCCGGTGAAGTGATGCCTATAGAGAAGCTTGATGCGGCCAGGGGAGGGGAGTGATGGGCATCAAAGTACTGCCATGGCCCATAGGATTTCTCATTTGCGGCTAGTTAGATTTACCTCTCTTATACAGCCTCTGATGTGTGTGTGTGTGTGTGTGTGTGTTTATGTGTGTGTGTGTGTGTGTGTGTGTGTGTGTGTGTGTGTGTGTGTGTGTGTGTGTGTGTGTGTGCTCACCTGCGCGTGCATGTCTGTGCGTATGTGTGTGTGAGTGTGAGTGTTTGAGTGGAGTGTGCACATGATTTACACTTTGTTTGTTATGTTATACACTTATATAGTCATTATGTATTACTAGTATGCAGCCTGCGTAATTGTCTTGGATATGCAAAATCGTGAAGGCCAACCCAACTTGAAATGCAATGAGTTCGGCTTAAACATTTGTTCAAAACAAAACTAGTAGGTAGGTTGAAATCATCTGTTTGGCTCACGCCAACGTGTGGGCAGACAAAAGGAGCCTGACTAATGAGTTTTATTCAACGTTTTATTGCACTGATGGAGTGCTTTTGTGAAAACGGTCTGCCTGTGAAACTACTGCATTAGCTATGCATCAACGTTCACATCACATTTCTACTGTAGATGCTCAGTAAGCCATTGTTGTGACGAATGCTGTGCAGCCAATCACTGCCTTGCCTTTGCATGCCACCAAGGAACGCTGCTAGCCAATCACTGCCTCTTCATGCCACCAAGAAAGTCTGCTAACCAATTACTGCCTCTGCATGCCACCAGCAAACGCTGCTGGGTCGGGGCAGGATCCTGTCAGCTCTGCCCCTGAGAAGTCAAACCCAGGATTTTGCAATGCGTGGGGAGGGGACCAAGATAGAAGCAGCAACTCAAACAGCAGAGGGCGCACAGGGGAATTTCTGATGTGGAGACTCAGCATTCAAGTTTGGCCAAATCTGTGAGCTCTGCACCTGGAAAGTCAAACCCTGGATTCTGCAATGCGTAGGGGACAACACAGGAGCAACGCAAACAGAGGGCACACAGGAGGGTTGTGAAGAATAAGAGCAAGCGAAAGTAAAGGCATCCTGCAATATATGCGCAGAATCAAAAGGAAAAGCTGACAAGATGTGTAGTGAAGCTGACAGATAGTTTGAGTGAAAAAAAAAACAAAATCGCTCCAGCATGAGCCTTCCGCACCCCTGGTCTGCAAAGAAAGCACCAACATTGCGCCCCTTGATTGCGCCTGGACTGTACCATTCACTACAGATATCCCCCACAGCGCCCACACTATGCCTCCTGCCCGTGCCAACCAACCTTTGTCCACCCACCTCTATCAAAATCGCTCATCAAGAGTCGTCTGGACCCCTGGTCCGCAGAGAACGAACCGAGACTGTGTCCAGTGATTGCACCCATCCGCCTCTTTCTGAGAGCGCTCTGGAGCCTATATCCCAAGCAATCTCTATCAAAATTGCTCCCACCCACCTCTATTTGGAACTGCTCCAGCATGAGCCGTCTCGACTCCTGATTTGCAGAGAAAGCATCCAGGCTCTGCCCCGACTGAACCGGGACTGAGACCTTGAGTACAGATAACTCCAACCCACACCGTCCACACTCGTGCCTTCTGCTCGTGCCTACCTGTGATTACCCACCCACCTCTATCTGAAACTGCTTCAGCATGAGCCGTCTCGACTCCTGGTCCGCAGAGAAGGCATCAAGAGCGTGCCCCTTGATTGCGCCCGGCCACGGCTTGCCTCGCTCTGCCTTTTGCAACGAGATGTGGAGCTCAGCGCCCTCTGTGGGATGTAAAGAGGTGAAGTGAAGGGGAGGAGAAAGCATTAGACTATGCCCGTTCTGCGCCGCCGCCCAGCCACGGTTTGCCTCGCTCCACTTTCAGCAACGAAATGTGGAGCTCAGAGCGCTGTATGGGATGCAGAGAAATGAAAAAGAGGTAGAGAAAGCATCCAGATTATGCCCTTGGATTGGCTTCTGGCCATGGCTTGCCTCATTCGGCCTTTTGCAATGAGATGTGGAGCTCAGTGCCCTCTGTGGGACGCGGTAATTCCTGGAGGAGTGGAAATGCCGTGCAAAGCAAATCAGGTAAGGGAGAAGAGGAGAAGGCATGCAAAGATGGGAGGAGAGGAGGAAAAGCCAATCAGGCCCCTTTAACGCCCGAGGCCTTGCCTGACTTGCTCGCCTTTTAAAGGGAGAAACTGAGGTGCATGGGAACATTTTGTATAAAAAAAACCCTTAACGAACACGGATATGGGATAGCAACGCTACTTATCAATGCGAGAAGACCATAAAGGGAGTGCGCGAACAAAAGAGATAAAAAAGTTTGAAGTGACGAAGGGCAAGTTTGAAGTGACGAAGGGCGGATGATGCAGTGGGTAAACTAGGACTACAACTCACCAATGGTCCAGAAGCTATCGCCCACCTTCACACCCCCGGCCAGGTCATGCTGCCAGGCCCATCAACCTCACCAGCGCGAACTCGTCCGCGAGTGACAGGTCCTCGAGATCAGGTCTGGAGGAAGATGAAATGAGGAGAGGGGGGCAGGAGAGAGAGGCAAGCAAAAAAGGGTGCAGAGTTGGTGCCATTAGTTCAAGATGTGCTGCTTCCTCCAATAGCCTCACGAGGGCAAACTCGTCCGCCAGTGACTGGTCCTCAAGATATGGCCTGCAGGGAAGTCGACGGGAAGGAGGAGGGAGAGGATGAGGAGAGAGGGAACGAGAATGAAAAATAGCTTTCTTTTGTTTGGTTGCTCTGAGGAGGGAACGTGTCTTGTCTCCTCCTCACTCAACACCTACTATCAGCTTCACATACTCTTATTCAGGCAGCACCGTATGCTTTGACGTCAGCATCCCACCACTCACTTGTCCTCTGACGTCAGCACCACTCTCTGCTGTCTTCTCAGCAGCCGCCCGCTATGCCCAGGTGCTACTGCCGACCGCACCATCCCCACTATCTGCAATCCGTCCGCCACTGCCAGGGATTTCCGCACCTGAATCGGCACATGAAACAACAACCCACCTGAATAAGCGCTTGATGCAATGGAGATGCAGGATGGGAACATCCTGCTGAAAAGAGCAAGACCTGCCCAAGTCTGTGTCCAAGCTACCACCTGCCCTTGCACCCTTCCCCTGCCCTCCGCCCCTGCCTCCTGCCCCTAGCCCCCACCCGCCGAGCCCCCAACCCCAGTCCCACAGCCCTGCCCCCTGCCCCCTGCCTCTTGTCCCTGCCCTTTGCCCCGTGCCTCCTATCCCTGCCCCCTGCCTTCTGCCTCCTGTCCCTGCCCCCGGCTCCCTGGCCATACCACTGCACTGATTCTTCACTGATTCTTCACTGATTCTGGTTTGTGCTATTCATGTTGATGTATCTACCATTCTTTGCCACCGTATCTCATCGTTACGACCCCACTAGTCCCACGCACGCCCATTGTTGTAACCACCCACCTTGGCGCGCGCTGCTAGGTTGATGGCATCTGATGGCCGCATGTCGAGACTCATCATGGCAGGCTCGGTGCTGCTGCTGCTGGCTAAAACTACTAGGTGACTTGGTGCACTCACACTTCCATACAATCACACACGTTATTACAATCACCCACCTTGGCGCGTGCTGCAAGGATGATGGAATTTGACGACCGCATGTCCAGACTCATCATTGCAGGCACACCTCTCCTTCGAGTGCCCCGACCACAGTGACTCCGAAGACGACGACGCCAAGGGAAGCCAGCCACGCAAGGAGAAGCAGTCCACCAAGACGTCGACTTCGGCGAAGGACGACTCCTTTGCTGGCGGCAAGGGGCGGGACGACAAGACGGCGTCGTGCTCGCTGGCCGGCGTCGTGGAGCCGATCGTCTCGCTGGCGCCGGAGGCAGGAAAGGACTTCCAGGCGATGGCGGCAGCTGTGCAGGCGAACCCGGTGGTGGTTTTGCTCGACAGCGGCTGCTCCCACCACCTGATGGGGACGAAGGAATTCTTCGTCGACCTGCAGCCGAGCGGCTCCATCAAGCACGTGCGTGGCTTTAATGGGGTGCTGCAGGACGTCCAGGGCCGCGGCACCGTCGCCCTGCAAGGGGAGGCCAAAAAGCAGGTGCTCATCCCTGACGTGCTGTACGTCCCAAGTGTCCGGGCAAACCTGCTGTCCTCCGGCCAGCTGAAGGAGCATGGCGTGAAGCTACAGGAGGACGGCGACGGGATGCTGCTCGTCTCGGCAGCAGGAGAGGTGCTCGGTCGAGTGACGTACTCCGGGCGTGTCCTCTGCACCAACCTGCATCCCTGCTCAACGAGGTCGACGTCGCCCACGCAGGAGGTTGTGGCCCTGCGGGCGATCGTCTCGAAGACGAAGTCGACACCGGACAGGGTGCATGTGAGGCTTGCGCACGTCGGCATGGACACCATCCGGAGCTCCGCGAAGCACGAGGTCGCCACTGGGCTGGACCTCAAGTCGGCGTTGGGCGCCGACTCACCGTATGTCTCGTGCGTCGGCGGGAAGCTGGCATGGCACTCCTTCCCCGACCAAGGCTCCGACGCTGACGACGTGCTGGCCGTCGTGCACATCGACCTGTGCAGGCCGTTCTGCGTGACTGTCAAGGATGGCAGCTTGTACTTCTTGCTGCTCAAGGACCGCAAGACCTGCTACGTGTGGGTGAGGCCAGTCGCCAAGAAGTCGGATGTGCTGCTGGAGTTCCAGAAGTGGCTGGTGTTGGTGGAGAGGCAGACGAACAAGTCGGTGCTGATGCTTCGCTCCGACCGAGGAGGGGAGTTCCTCGGAAAGAAGTTCACCGACTTCGTGGACGGCAAGGGGATCGTCCACGACCTTACTTGCCCGTACACCCCGCAGCAGAACGGCATGGCGGAGCGGGAGATGTGGATGGTGGTGGAGTCGGTGCAGACAATGCTTCTGCACATGGGCGTGCAGCACCACTTGTGGCACCTCACTCTACGGCAGGCCGTCTGGGTCCGCAACTGCCTTGAGCGGTCAACGTTGACACCGGGGACGATGCCGTACCAGCTGCTGACCGGACAGAAGCCCGACTTGTCGATGGCGCGGGTGTGGGACTGCATGGCGCAATTCCTTGTCCCCGAGCAACAGCGTGGTGAGAAGCTGAAAACGAAGGCCAGGTGGGGCCTTCACCTCGGTGTGTCAAAAGACAGCAAGGGCTGGGAGCTCCTCGACATCGATGCCAACCGGATGGTCACCACGTTGGATGTGGTGTTCTACGAGGATATGTCGCTGGAGGTATGGAAGTCGGAGCACGGGCAGGTGTCAGGTCGGACGCCGACCGCCCCGTCGACCGATACCTCGACGGCGACGCTGCCGCTGCTCGCCGAGGTCAGTGAGCTTGTTGATGAGGACGCCGAGGTCGTCCATCCTCTTTCACCTTCCCCTATGACCCCTGCCCCTCCCCTCGTGGCCGACCTGCGCGGGCTGACTCCTGTGCCGGCCTCCGGCAATGAGGGGAGTAGTGGGACGTCGCCTTTGGCGCAGGCCAAGGGCATCGCCGGTGGCCGACGTGACGAGCGGCAAGTCGACGTCGGGGAAGAGTAGGTCGAGGAGGAGCAGCCGACTTGGGTGAAGCCGGCAAAGAAGGCACCAGCAAGGCAGCAGCCGATAGGGGAGCAGGGAGTGGTGACGCCGACCACGGAGCAGTCGGCAACCAGGCAGTCGGCAGAGGAGCCGACCACAGGGGAGAGGTCGACCAGGAAGTTGACCGAGGTGCAGCACAACGACAAGGACAGTGAAGACGGTGACGAAGGAGGGGACGCCGGGGAATCCACCAAGAGTGACGTGGTGGACGTTCGGCCTAAACCCCGGAAGTCGGGCAGACTTCGGAGGCCGCCGGACTTCTTCGTCCCCGCTGCCTTCAACACGGTGTACGACGTGGACGATGATGACGACGCCCTGTTGTACGACGACGCCGAGGAGGATGAGGAGTTCTCGGAGCTCGACCCTGACATGCTAGCCGACCTCGAGCATCGTTGGGACATCTCGACGATGACGGTGAAGGAGGCGTTGGCGAGTTGGAAGGGCCCGGCAGTGAAGGCCGCCATGGAGGAGGAGATCCGCAGCCTCATCAACATGGGCACTTGGGAGCTGGTAAAACGCCTGCCGGGGGTCAACATCATGAAGAACCAGTGGGTGTTGACAACGAGGAGGCACAGGAGTGACAGGAGGAGGAGTACCAGCAGAAGGTCGGCTCGCTGCAGTTCGCGGCAACGATGACGAGGCCGGACATTGCCTTCGCCTGCAGCAAGCTAGGGAGCGGCCTCACGGTGAGGAGCGACCAGCACTGGCGCGAGGTCGACCGCTGCCTCGCCTACCTCGCCAACACGCGTGACACCGCCCTGAAGTTCATTGGTGGACCTGAGTCACTGGAGCTGGTCGGCTACGTGGACGCCGACGACGCCAGTGACAAGTAGAACAGGACGAGCACGGACGGCTACGTGTTCGTCTACGGAGAGGCCGCAGTCGCCTGGTCGAGCCAGTGCATCAAGTGCGTGACGTTGTTGTCCACCGAGTCGGAGTACGTTGCGGCCACGGAAGCCAGCAAGGAGGGACGTCGTCTTTGCTTCCTACTTGCAGAGTTCCAGCAGCTGGATGATGGGAAGCCGACCGTCCTTCGGGTGGACAACAAGTCGGCAATCACAGTCGCCGAAGGCATGGGGTTGACGAGCAAATTCAACCACATGGAGCGGCGACAGGCCTGGCTGCAGCACATGGTGAAGCACTGGAAGTTCTCGCTGAGGTACATCCCGACCACTAAGCGGCCGGCCGACTTCCTCACGAAGGCGCTGCACTATCCGGCCTTCAACTGGTGCTCCGTCGCCATCGCCCAGGTGTGCTTGGCCGACGTGGGTGACGAAGTTGACGAAGTGCAGTAGTAGGTGTCATGCCCTCTTGCATGGCTGGTGCGGTGGACGACGTGCTGTGTGTTGGGTGCGCGTTGACGGGCTATTCTTCGAGCAGTACTGCCGTGTGGGCTGGGGGCCCAAGCGTGAATGCGGCAGGGGAGTGTCAACGGGAGTTGTGTGTTGGCCCCGTCCTCGCTTGGGCGGAGCCGACTTCGTGGTCGGGTGTGAGGGGAGCAGCCAACCTGCAGCAGTGGGCGAGCTGGTTGACGAGGAGGTCGACCTGCACGAGGACCACTGCACGGGTGCCGACTTCAGGGTGGCGCCGACTTCAGGGAGGTCGACCTGGTTAGTCGACCTACGGAGGGGGTCAACTTGGTGACGCCAACTTGGGGCAGCCAACTTGGGTGGACGGCTAACAGGCCTGCTGGTCGACTTGGTGGTAGGTCGACCAGGCGTGATGTCGACCTGGTGGTCGACGTAGGAGGGGCCGACGTCGACCACAACTCAGGACGCCAAGCAGCAGGGCGTCGAGTAGTTGAGCGTCAACTTGGTGACGCCGACTTCGGGTAGCCGACTTGGGTGGTCGGCTGACAATTGCGCTGGTCGACATGGAGCTGGTCAACCAGGAGTGACGTCGACCTGGATCTGGTCGACCAGGGACGTGGTCGACTTGGTGAGGTCGACTTGGGGTGGTCGTCGACTTGGGAGGTCGACGGGTACGTACAAGAGCAGCTGGTCGACGTGGTTGCCCGGTCGACCAGGTTACCTGGGTGACGAGGTTCTGCGGAGGAGTGCGACGGTCACGCAAGCGAAGTTGGCGAGTCTGACCTCGGTGGTGGTATCCCGAGGTCGACGTGGCTGATCAGATGTAATCGTCAGCGTCAGGCTGACTTGGTGTGTGCGTTGTGCAGGTGACAAGGCTTAGCACGCCAATCATCTGCGAGCACCTGCGAAGCTGGTGCGCTGCTGTTCCGCGGGAGCAGCCTTGGCACGCCTTCAACCTGCGACGTTGGCACGCCGTCGACTTTGCACTGCTGGAGCGCGGTCGACCAAGTCGTGCTGGATCGCAGTCGACTGACCTGAATGCTAGCTCTGATGTAGTCTTGCCATGCCAACTTCTTTGTACCATTGCTGTCAACTTTCTCTAGTGAAGCTCTTGCCAAATCGCCTCGTGAACTAGCAAGCAGTGTGTGCACTAGGAAAACGACTAAGGACCAACGAACGCAGAGATCACACGAGCACCCGTGCCTAGCCTGTAGTCTAGCTCCCGTTGTAGTAGTTATCTCTGCAGTAGGTGCACTCACCCGCCACACAAACAAGCCCTTTTATCCCAGTGGTTAGTGGCTGGGATTCTGACAGTTGTGTGCAGTAAGGTCTCGTTGACACAGGTTCCCGTTTTGCGTAGACTTGGGTTATGTACTTACTTTGTTTGTACTCTTTGCTTATACCTCGGTGAACTCTTGAACAGGCCTTGTTGCCCTTTTGCCTAGGCTGTGTGATGACGTTGTGATCCACCCTGAGATTTGTTGTTTAGTGACTGATCTTGTGACTATACGGTTTTGATTTTGTTTGAAACCCCTCACTTGGGCTATGTTTGTCATATGGGGTACATTAGTTAGGGTTAGTTTTTCTTGCTATTGTGATGTTAAGCAAGTGAGGATCTTCTCATATTTTTCTAGCTCCCCTCTTCTATCTTTCTCTCTTTCGATGCAGGTGAAGGTGCTGAGGGAAACGGACAGGGTGGGCCTAGACGGCAAGAAAGAAAGGAACGATGTTTAACCTCTCTTTGCACTCCTTCCAATCAATTTGCACCCCTCTCTCTCTCATTTCTGCAGGTGGTGATGAGGGAAGCAGACCGAGTGGGCCTAGACGGCAAGCCGCCGTCCAAGGGAGCGGCGTTCATAGAGTTCAGTGAGCATCAGCACGCGGTGACGGCTCTGAGGGCGCTCAACAACCACCCCAGTGAGTGAAGCATGGTGCTGTGCAGTGCTGTGCTGTGCGATGGTTTGAGTGCAGGGCGGTGGTGTGCTGTTCTTGAGACGGCAAGCCGTAATCCAAGGGAGCGGCATTCATTGAGTTCAGTGAGCATCAGCACGCTGTAGCAGCGTTGAGGGCTCTCAACAACCATCCCAGTGAGTGCAGTGCGGTGCTGACGACAACTGCTCTTATCCCTGCTTCACTCTCCACATCACTTGCGTATGCTCGTTTCTCCTTTGCGCGTGGTCCATCCTCCATCAGTCCCACGTGCTTTTATCTGTGCTTCTCCCTTACATCTGTTCCCTTCCCAACCATCTTTTCTCACAATCATCACACAGTGAAGTTGCGATCAAAATCATCTCCATACTGATGCAGCCTTCTATCCCCATCTTCTATGCACTTCCTTTCATCCCCCACGCCTTCCCCCCCATGTTCAAGACCCTCTCCTCCCTTGCAGCTATCTTCTCTCATGACGCACGGCCCATAGTGGAATTTGCCATCGAGAATGTATCCATAGTGAATCAGAGGCAGCACACGTCCATTTCCCCACCCCTTTATCCGTTTCCCTCCCTCACTTCTGTTCCCCTCCTCCATCCATGCCCCACCCGTACATTCTTGCAGCCGTCTTCTCCCGTGATGCTCGCCCCATAGTGGAGTTTGCCATCGAGAATATCTCGGTAATGAAGCAGCGGCAGCACACGGTGAGACATCAGAGCGACACGCGACAGACAGTGCGGCAGCAATAGAAGCAGGAGAAGCGGCAGCAGCAGCAGAAAGAAGTTGGGGCCACTGGTTTGGGCAAAGCAAGGGGTGCAAAGAGAAAGCCTGAGGAGGGTGAGGCACTTGCTGTTGGTGATGCTTAGGGCTCTCCATCGAAGAAGAAGCAGAAGCAGGTGAAGGGAGGGAAAGGGCAAGGTCAGCAAGAGAGACTCTGGAAGGGACCTGCGAAGGATGTGAAGGGGCATGCGGGTGCACAGGTGCAAGCAGGCGCTGCAGCAGGGCAGCAGAATGTTGGTGTGAAGGCACCGGGTGGAGCAGAACGGGGAGGGGCGAGCGGGAGTAGGAAGGGCGAGTTAAAGAGGAAGCAGAAGGGTGCAGCAAGGGGCGCTGGTGTGTCTCCTGCTGCTGCAGTGAAACCTATTGCTGCCTCTCCTGCGGCTGATTTGAAAGCTGCTCTTGCTGCCGTAAGTCCTGGTGCTTAAAAGGCAAAGACAGACCCACAGAGGGGAAAAGCAGTGGTTGCAATGAAAGCTGTTGTTGTCTCTCCTTCTGCTGCAGTCGGTCCCGGTTCTAAAAGGGCAAAGACAGACACACGGAGGGGAGAAGCAATGGCTGCAGTGATGGAGGCTAGGCGAGCACAGGCAGCATTAGCTGGGTTGGGGGGAGGTGGAGGGGGGGAGAGGGGCAAGGCGAGGAGCAAGAAGGGGTCGGAGCACCAGGAGTTGGTGGATGAACTTGATAGGCGCGTGGCGGCTTACAGATCGAAGAACTATGGGTGATAGAGGGATTGGGAGGGCGGGAGTGCGAGGGAGAGGAGCAAGGGGCTGAGCAAGAAGGGGTCGGAGCACCAGGAGTTGGTGGATGAACTTGATAGGCTCGTGGCGGCTTACAGATCAAAGAACTATGGGTGAGAGGGAGTAGTACAAGGGAGCCGGAGCATCATGTGCTTTGATTGGCTATGAGTCTGCTTGATGAGCTCGCAGCAGATTACAGGTGAAGAATCGTGAAATTACAGTTGAAAAGATAAAACATTGAAGATGTGAAGAGCAAAATAAGATTGAAGGCAGAGCCGTGGCATACACTCTATTGTGATTCAATTCTTCTTTATTTCATGGGGCTGGCTGAACAAGTAGCTAGTGTAGTCTTTGCTTTTCTATCATTCAATCACAAATACATGAGTGCTACAAGAGACTCACTGGAAACTCAGATAAGTTGTGATACACTAAGAAGTCAGTGTTCTGGTGTACCCGTAAATTTGAGCCTTCAGCGTATGCGTTGAATATAGAATTGCCTCATTTAGTGTGAGTATATATGTAGCTGGTTCCCCCCGAATTATTAGTGAACCAATGCTTATAATAACAAAGAGAGTATTTGTGTGCGCATGTACTATGACGAATTAAGAAAAAACGCAGGTTTGACAATATGGACGGAATAAACAATGAATGATAAGAGATGCCGTAATATAGCGGACGAAACTGCCATTTGGTTTGGTTTGGAGAGCTTGTGACGGTGTCCATTTTTGTCTCTTGCCACGATGCCCTACCGAGTCAAGCATACAGTATCCCAAATATCCTTTGTGAACAGTCGGAATCTTTGTGCACCATACGTCGGAAATCAGTCAGAACTTGCGTATGCACACCACCAAAGCACAAGCAAGCCAACGTATCTGACCGAGCCTGCCACCCAGACGCAATGTTAAGGGGGGATTTACTGTTCATTCCTAACAGTACTTTCCAACTCACCCTTATCCTTATCTTCCTTGATTTCCTAGTGCCACGTGGCACTCTACCTTTCTTGCCTTCAATTCCTAGTCCCACGAAGTACTTTCCGACATTCGATCTTGCATGTTATATCAACCTTGCTTGTACTTGCCATTATTAATCAATTCTCATTCAACTCTTCTTCAATTACTCAATAACTTCTTCGCCTATTTTGCCAATAGTTCTTTCGCCAAAGTCTTCCGCCGCATTTCATCCTCTACTTAGATGACCCCGCTAATTCTTTAGCGGATTTAGGTCGTCGGGCCTAACACTTGGTATCAGAGCCTTCGCGGGGAGCGACTTCCAACGAACGACCGTCGACGACGAGACTACGACGTCATCGTCCCGCGGTGCCGACTTGCAGACTTGGAGTCGTCGAGCGAACATGGACGAAACCATGCACGCTCTCCCCCACGACATGGGCAACACGCTTGCCGAACTCATGCGCCAACTTCAAGAGTTGACGTTGGAAAATCGTCAGGTACAAGCTGAAATGCAACAGCTTCGTGAATTGGCTTCTAACCCCCATGGTCATGCCGCACCAACTCTTGCGCCCAACACGTCGACTGGCGCGGAAGCGCTGCCGGAACGTCGAAGCGCGCTCAAGCCGCAGAAACCCGAGTCGTTCGACCCAAGTCAACGCGACGCGAACGTGCGGACGTGGCTCTTCATGCTCAACAACTACTTCCCCGCGAGCGGGGTGCAAGAGGCGGACGCGCAGCAGCGGATCGAGTACGCCGTTACACTGCTGAGGGGCCCGGCCTTGGAGTGGTGGCGCCAACTCACGCAAACTGCTGTAAGAAGGGCTCAGACAGACGGGCATCAACAGGGCGTGGGGCATGCAGCTGCAACTTCGAGCTTAGGGAGTTAAGCTTTGGGTGTTACCACGGTTCCGACCACATGGGAAGGATTTGAAGCGGCGCTAAAAAGTAGGTTCGATTTGGTGAACGCCTCCGAAGCTTCTAGGAAGCGTCCGCGTCATTTCCGACAGATAGGAAACGTCCAGGAGTACACACGACGGTTCTTGAGCACCTGCAACGAGATAGACGATATCACGGAAGCAGAGATGCGCGATCGCTACCTCGAGGGGTTGAAGCCGGACATAGCAGAAGTTATAGCGATTCATGGGTTGTCCACCTTCGAGTCAGTTGTCGCAGCAGCAGAACGTGTCGACGCAGTACAAAGCCGACGAGGTCGTGACGATCGCGATAGGGGATACAACAGACCGATCAACGACGCTCGATCGAGGGACGGACCATCGCCCATGGAGATTGGTGCAGTTAACAGTGACGGCTCACAGAAAACGGGATTTAGGGGGAACTGTCACTACTGCAAAAAGCCGGGACACATGAAGCGAGACTGTCCACAGCTTAAGGAGCGGCAGCAGGGAAACGGAAACCGCCAGTTGATAGCGGGTCGCTAGCTGGTGTGGAGGTTCCCATACCCGCCACGTCTACCAGCGTAGAGGAGACGGCGTTGGAGCAGTCATCTACGGAGAACGAGGTAGACACTGTTGACCGACCAGTCGTGCTTCTAGGGAAGCTTCGCGGAGTTCCTGTTAAGATTCTCGTAGATAGCGGAGCTAGCCACTCGTTCGTGTCTTCATCGTTAGTCAGCCGCCTCCATCTCGAAACAGATTCCGCAGTCAACTTCAAGGATGCTCGCATGGTAGATGGGACGCCTCTCCACATAGGACCGATCATTCACAAGTTGCACGTAGTGCTAGGACCGATCACAGTTAGGCGTGATTTCGACTCTACGACATTGGACGGATACGATTTTATCTTCGGGAGAGATTGGCTACGCACGATCAGTACTCAGCTCGATTGGGCTCAGGGAAGCTGCAGCGTCAAGGTAGACGGGGAGTTCCGGGAGCTGCCACAGTGGAGCGATGGGGCCACATCATCCACAGCTATCATTAATGCTGTTCGTGTGCGACAGTTAGTGAAGCATACGGCACGGATCTTCGCGGTTTTCCTTGAGGAGGTGGAAGCTGAGGAAGGGAAAGGAGGGAGTGCAGCAGTTGGTGCGAAGGCGACTCTTCCTGCTGAGGAGAGTGCACTATTAGCAGAGTTCGCAGACGTCTTCCCCGACGAGTTGCCCCCAGGGTTACCTCCCAGCCGAGCAGTAGACCATCGAATAGAGTTGGAGCCGGGGAGCATGCCAGTAGCGAAGCCGCAGTGGAGGTTGAGTCCAGCAGAGACAGAGGAGATGACAAAGCAGGTTAGGCATTTCCTAGCGCAGGGGTTCATACAGCCATCTAGATCGCCTTGGGCAGCACCGATCCTTTTCGCACCCAAGAAAGACGGAGGGTTACGGATGTGCATAGATTACCGCGCACTGAACGCCGCCACCGTCAAGGATAGGTTTTCGGTGCCAAGAGTAGAGGATCTCCTAGATGCAGTGCAGGGCGCTAGAGTTTTCTCCAAGATCGACCTTCGTTCGGGTTACCACCAGATTCGCGTAGTTCCAGAGGACCAGCACAAGACGGTGTTTCGTACGAAGCAGGGGTTGTACGAGTTTAGGGTTCTACCGTTCGGATTGACCAACGCCCCAGCGACGTTTCAGACGCTCATGAACACAGTCCTCTCCGAGTTCCTAGGTTCGTTCGTTGTAGTTTACCTAGATGACATTCTCATATTCTCCAAGACAAAAGAGGAGCACGTGCAGCACTTGCAGAAGGTCTTCGAGGTTTTACGGAGGGAGCAGCTGTACGCTAAGCAGTCGAAGTGCGAATTCTTTCTCCCTAAGGTCGAGTTCCTAGGACACGTCGTATCCGCTAGTGGCATTAGGACCGACCCGAAGAAGATCGCAGCAGTACAGGATTGGGTAGCATCGACCTCAGTCAAGGAGTTGCAGAGCTTTCTCGGATTCGCCAATTACTATCGTCGTTTCGTTCAGGGTTACGCATCGATCGCTAGTCCACTCACCGACCTACTTCGGAAGGGCGTAGAGTACGTTTGGGGTCCAGCGCAGCAGCAGGCGTTCGAGAAGATGAAGCAGTCGCTCACGTCTTCACCGACATTGTCGTACCCTAATCCCACTCGCCCATACGTTGTAGTGACCGACGCTTCAGATCAGGCCATAGGAGCAGTGCTTCTTCAGGACCAGGGCCGCGGGTTGCAGCCGATAGCGTACGAGTCGCGCAAGCTTAGGGGAGCCGAGCTGAACTATCCGATCCATGACAAGGAGGCGCTCGCGATCATCCATGCGTATAAGGTGTGGAGGTGCTATCTAGAGGGGGCAGATAGTGTTATACGCACGGACCATTGCTCGCTTCGCTTTCTCAAGTCGCAGCCGCAGCTGAGTCATCGCCAGGCTAGATGGATGGAGTTCATGGAGGGGAGTTTCCACTACAGGATAGAGTACAAGCCAGGTGTGCGCAACCCTGCAGATCCACTTACTCGCCCTAGTTGCCAGCTCGCTAGTCTCACAGTCACTGCCGGCCACCCACTTCTCACAGCACTCTTCGAGCACGGTTACACAGTAGATCCCGACTTCACACCGCAGCCGCCCGCAAGAGCAGAGGTGCGGGGTAGTGTCTACATACGGAAGGGTACCACACGGATTTGGGTTCCAGCCTACCGCCCTCTTCGACAGCTCCTTCTCTCAGAGGCGCACGACGTAGTTAGCGCAGGGCTCTTCGGAGCAGATAAGACGGCTAAGACGCTTAGTCGCACGTACTACTGGCCCGGGCTTGCAGCGGACGTAGAGGATTACAT